AAATAAATAAATAAATAAATAAATAAAAGAACTTTACAGACAAGCCATCATGAAGTTTGTAGTGACTACCTTTTTACTCTTAACTTCAGAATAATTAAATTACATACACCAGAAAATATGCAGGGTGAACATAAAGTTCACGTGCAATTTAAAATAGTTTAATATGGTAAATTGTACAAGAACTTTGTGTCCAACCTGTATAAGAACCAGGAGGAAAAAAATATATTGCTAAGAAAATCAAGGCTACAAACCTATCTTGAACATATTTCTAGGTTTTCCTAAAGCTATTTTAAGACTGGACATATCCTTGGTATTAGATTTAAAAGGCGCTATGTAAAATAGTGTGGCAGTTTTTAGTTGTATAATTTGGGATAAGACCCTTCAGTTTGTGTACCTGTAAAATGGATAATGAGACAATTATAATAAGGCCTTAATTAATTTTAGATAGATAGGTCTCTACGTATGGCTAGATGTTATAGGATCTAGATTAGAGCAAGGCCACTTGAAAAATCTCAGTTGAAGATCCAATGTTAAATTCCTTAAAATGGAGATTTTGTTTTTATTAGAGAATTGGCAACTTTTCTTTTGGAATTTCACTTAGCTAAATGTTTGTGGTAACAGTAACCAAAGAGTCAAAACAAAGGATTGTACTTACTACTTCATGAGCTATTGCCTAGTAATTGATAATGGGTGTGGACTATAAAAGAAGACCTTGGTAGGACCTTTAACTTTCAGTAAATATCCTTTGGATCAGAATCTTCAGGGACCTTATCTTGGCTCTTTCATAACCATATCTCAGCCCCCTCAGTTCTCTCCAAGACCCCCTTTGTACCTATTTTTTGTCTATAATAGTTGCTTACCACTTGAACTAAATGGAATTTTTTCGATGGAACCATATATGTCTTTGTGCATGCACATACTATTGATTCATTCTACACATATTTATGGGAGGCTTACTGTGTATTAGGCATTCTTCCAGGAACTTTGGATGCATAAGTGAACAAAACAGACAAAATTCTAGAAGGAACATGATATGGCATACTTCTCGTACCCTACTTCATAACTCAGATTCTGCAAGACTCATTAGAGCTTTGTTGTTCTGTGTGGTAGTAACTAGCTACTTGTTTAAAGTAATTAAAAGTAAATTTAAAATTCAGTTGCTCAGTTACACATGCTATCATGCTGTATTTCAGATACTCAATAGTCACAATGGCTAGTGGCTGCCATGTTGCTCAGAGCAGATATAAAATATTTCCATCATCACAGAAAATTCTTTTTTTTTTTTTTTTT